TTTGTCATAAAGCTCTTTGTGTTCAGACACCAATGAGACCAGCAGCTCTACATTCATCTTGCCTCGATGCATCTTCTTGGTCTACTTACTTCCTCTTCGTCGTTAGGTATAAATGTGTGCTTGGCAAGACCGTTTTGTGCTTGAGCACCACCAAGTCGTGTTTTACTGTAACTTCAGCAGCTCCAGGCACGTGAACAAAAGCACCAATCTCATTGGTCGGCCAGTTTTTAACACGGCGCGTCAAACCAAAAAAAACGAGGCCGAGGCGTTTTTAAAAAAATTACGCTTTTACGCCTCGCGTTTTGCGCGTCGATGTGCACACTCACATTGGCGCCCTTTGTTTAGTCATGAGGCGTTAAACGTCGGCGATAATCGCAGGCGATATTCGTCCCGGTGTGAACAAGCCTTAAGACTTTTGTGCTCCAGGGTCACATATATGGTGAATGCAGGATGCTCACCAGGACTTTGGTTGGCCGAAATGCAGGTAGTTGATGCTGTAGAGGTCCATGTCCTCCGTGTGCCAGGCGAAGGTGGTTTTCCACATGCCGAAGTACAGGTATGGCGTGTTGACGCCCTCGATGACGATCCCACACTCCTGCTCCACCATGTCCAGAAGAGTGTTCAGATGGCCGATGTTCCACTCCGTGATGTCCTTACGAAGAAAAAACATCATAAAAACATGCATATGACTAATCATCAGGGTTACTATAGTAACTAAAACCATTAAAAAAATTAAATCAGCTTTAACTGAAATGGAAAAAGAAAAAAAAAACGTATTTTATAACAGCTAGTTGCCAATACCAAACACTAATCACAGTAAAGGTGACTAACCGGGTCATAAAGGGACCCGCTGATGTCGGCGCCGTAAATGGGCGACACAAACGTCAAGTTTTTCCAGTACTTTCTTTCCAGGTCGTCAAAGTCCTTGTGTTGAGGGGTGCAGTACCTGAGATCGGTCAAGAAAACACAAAGTTAAAGTATAAATGTGACCCTGGACCACAAAACCAGTCTTAAGTGTCAATTTTATGAAATTGAGATTTGAATAAATAAGCTGAATAAACGAGCTTTCCATTGATGTATGGTTTGTTAGGACAATATTTGGCTGAGATACAACTACTTGAAAATCTGGAATCTGAGGGTGTAAAAAAATCTAAATATTGAGAAAATCGCCTTTAAAGTTGTCCAAATTAAGTTCTTAGCAATGCATATTACTAATCAAAAATTAAAGTTTTGATATATTTACGTTAGGAAATTTATTAAATATCTTCATGGAACATGATCTTTACTTAATATCCTAATGATTTGTGGCATAAAAGAAAAATCTATAATTTTGACCCATATAATGTATTTTTGGCTATTGCTACAAATATTCCCCAGCGACTTAACACTGGTTTTGTGCTCCAGGGTCACAAATTAGCTTGAAGGACCGAAGAAAAACTGGCTGTAGTAAAAGTGCAAATTTTTCAAACTTAGTCATACATTTACATACAAACATTCACTATTCTGTCAATATTTTTGAAAAAATACCCCCCCAAAAAAGTTATTTTAATTGTCAATTTTAGTCAAGTTACTGACACGAAGGTCCAGATAAGAGAGGACAAACTTTACAAAGAAACCACATTGTGTATGTTATAAAAATATTGTCTTTGATCAAACAAAGCATACTTTTTACTATTGGCCAGTTTGCGATATTCTCCGACCGTCATGGACTTCTTCTGGATGTTGTATTGCGTGAAGAGTCCTGATTGGCCGGTCACCACTTGCATGATGGGAGCGGGAATGACCATCTCTTCAATGGTCTCGTAGGAACGCCGCGGCTTCCACTCCTTCGGCGGAATAACCTAAATAACAACGCATCAACTTTAATAACTGTGATCGACAACTGTACAATTAGACAACTGATACAAGCATTTCATTGTGTTTGTTCAAGTCCTTAGAAAACAAAAATGACAATCTTGTTATTAAGAATATATGAATAAATGCATTTTACAGACCTTTTAATTCAAGGTTAATTTATAAATATATTATTCGTCTAAATGGAGTACGAGAACAGAACAGACCGGGCGGGCATACAAAAGGTAACGCCAGGTTCACACACTCCGTCTGTGGTGCACATTTTTTCCGCGCCCATGTTAACAGATCAGAGCGTTCACACTGCACGCGGCTGCGGTCCGGCAGTGCGCTCCAGGAGCGGTGCGTCTGCAGCAGTCATGCTGCGAATGTTTCCGCACAGAGTCTATTTCTGCTGTGCTGCACGCGCTGAATTAAAGTTAGAGCGCATTATTCGTGGTAAAAATTAACATGGACTGACACGGAAATTTAGTAATTACACCATAAATGCAAATAGTTAAAAACTACTGTTTCACAGTCAACAACTGGCTTTTTTGCTAGATTTAAAACAAGGAAAAGTGCACTTTTAGATAGTCGCTTTGGATCAAAGCGTCTGATAAATGACTAAATAAAAATAAAAATATATTGCAGGGGTTAAAGCAAAAACAAATCTTTTGACTGAAAATGTTTGTCCTGTACATGTCACACAGTTTAAGAGCAGTTTTTTTCTTCTTGTAATTAGGAGCGCTTGCCCTCCTAATTAAAAAATTTAGGAGCACCTTCTGATCAATAATCAAAAATTTGCCTTCCTAATACGAGCTGACATTTGACTCCTTAAAGTGACTTACAGGAGTATTTTCTATTTACCTTTGTAATGGCATAATTTTCATCTATGTCAAATAAAAAAATTTATGTTTATAATCTTTTTAAAATTTCTATTTAAAACAATATGTAGAATAAGACAAATAAGTTACCAATCATATGAAATTAGTATTAATAAATTAATTTGTACTACAGAGGTGGCACAGAAGAACACAAAAGTGGCTTGTAGGTACATTTTCAGATGTTTAATGAGGCTGAGGTGGCATGAGTGCAATTAAATCCATACATTTATGTGGAGATTAATGTTTTAAATATAAAATTTTGAATACAGAAATATGATTCAAATAACTGAATTAAACTAAATCCGCCAGCAGGTGGTGTCAAGTCACTGATTTTATGGCTGAATCATTCATTCAATTGATTCGTTCGAACGGCTGAATCATTCAGGAATGAAGCAAGTAATTGTCTTTATGAACTGACGGAAATCCGTCGTAGCGACGGAACTTTAATCCCTGCAACAATTTAAAAATATTTACTTAACACTGACATTTTTTTTTACATTATAGCAGACATTATACCAAAGCAGCACAATATAACTTTAAATTAATAAGATAGTAAAATAATTTTTTTTTATAATTTTTTTTAAAAATAATCATTTTTGAGACTTGAATTAGGCATGTATTTTTTTACTGTACAAATAAAGGCAGCCTTGCTGAGAAGAAGATAATTCTTTTAAAACATTAGAATATATTACAGATCCCAATTTGAACACTATGTTTGAATGTTATAATAAATGTATTAATAGTGATGTTGTAGGGTAATTATTATTATCATTATTATTTTCTTACTTTTTTATTTCATTTTACAAAACAACAGTAAAATTACAATACAATCATTTATGAATGTTGATGATGGAGTTGTGGCTTTTTCTCTGCTTTTATTTTGGCAGAAACCCACAGGAAGATCTCAGTGCTTCAGCATGCAGATTTATAAATGATTCTCATTACGAATTTGGGAAGATGTTTGTTGCACGTATCACACTGTCACATGCTTTTAAAAAAAATTCACAAAAATGTTACTGAGCAACTGACGGGTAACACCGTTTCAGCGCAGATTTTCCTCGTGCTTTGGACTTTGAACCCTGGCGCCGTGAGCTCGTGCAGCGCTGTCAGAATACATGCAATTCGTGCGTGCATTAGAAAATATAACATTCTGCAGTTTATTTACTAATCGTTTGAGGTAATTTCGCCACCACTTCTTCTCATCGGAGACGTGATGCAGCACTAAACAGTCTCTCGCTGTCGGTGCTTCACGCTTGTAATGATTTCTGTGTCTTTCTCTGATAGATTTAAATACTTTCACACTGCCGACATGTTTGCTGCATTAGTGCGTGCCTCTATTTGATCGCGTTAGTCATTGTTCGGTACATATTATTCGGCCTTTTCACTTATTCGGCCAAACACCGAAAGAGATTTTTTTGCTATTTTCGGCCGAATAATTTCGGTTGCCGAACATTCGGTGCATCCCTCTTAACCTAGATTTACATACTGTCAAAAAGTGTTGCTTATTGTTATTCATGACACTAACAAATGAGTAATTAAACTTTACTTTTAAATTTAAATGTAATTCTTTTCATTTAATTTCAAATTGAAATGTATCTTAAATCAAACTTCCATTCGATACCTTCGCCAGACCGGCACGATGAGCTCCTTGGGTCTCGATGTAAGCGATGTACTTCCCAAAGTCCTTGAACTCCTCCATGGTGGGTCTGAAGGTCATGATCTTGTAGGAGGAGTTGGCCGCTGGAGGAGGCGTTGGAGCCGGGGCCGGTTCTGGGATCGGTAGTTCTGGTGTGAGTTCTGGTGCTGATAGTTCTGGCTTTATTTCTGGGTTCAGGGTCGGTTCTGAAACCGGTTCCAGGTATGGCTGCGGGTTCGAATCCAGGGTGGGCTGGACTGGAGAATCTTGAACGGCGTCTGCTTGTGAAGTGACGTCTGGAGCCGGTTCAGGCTCAGGGTTCAGGTCTGGAGGTAAAGCCGGATCCATGACTGCAGGTCAGCTAATGCTACGGACGCAAAAACATCACAAATCAATAATCACACCATTATTACAATTATTAAGTATCACACTAACTTTGTTTTTGTTAAATTCACTCACTCATAAATGACTGTTTATAGTCATGGAATAACTTTCCTGTAAAAGTTACATTTTAAGTTTCAATTTATATGAGGGTATACGAAAAAGTTTATTAATTTGTCCAGAAACACCAAAACTGTAAAAATAAGCCTGAGAGTAACTAAAAAGTTGAAAAACTAATTATAAACGTAAGTGTTAAACTAATCTATGAATCAATGTAACTTTTTCTTCAATTCAGTCAATCATAGTAGGTAACTGATGAATAAATTGTCTGCGAAGTTTTTATTTTTTAACATCAATATCTCAATATGTACATGCAAACATTTACCAATTTTAGGATAATAATGACAATAATGCAAAACATTTTAAAAAGCCTCAATGAATGAACACACCACTATCAGAAACCTGTTTTTCAAAGGTTAACAAAAACAACCAAACTCATATTTTTCAAATTAAACCATTTAGAGAAAAACTGCTGAAATGAACTAAAAAGTTGAAAAACTAGTAAATGATCAACTTAAATATGAAACTAAACTTGATTTTGTTAAATTCACTCAATCATAAATGATCGTTCGGAGTTGAAGAATAGCTTTACTGTAAACGTTTTATTTCCTAACATCAATATTTTAGCTTTCAATTTATATGAATGTATGAAAAAAGTATTTATTTCAAGTATTTACAGACAGAAATACAAATACTTAAAAATAAGTCTGAGATTAACTAAAAAGTTGAAAACTAATTAAAAACTTAACTAATATAGGCCTACAGATCAATGTAAAAAAAAAAACTTCAATTCAGTCAATCATAAATGATAGTTGAAGAATGTCTTTGCAGAGAATTTTTTTTTTTTTAAACATCAATATTTTAGGTTTTAATTTCTATGAATGTATATGGTAGGGCTGCATGATAAATCGAAATGGAATCGAGATGGTGATTCGACAGAAGCTGCGATTGTCATGCGTATCTTTCAGTGAAGCACGGTTCTGTGATCAGCAGTAAATCTCCATCCGAAGGCCAGAGGGCGCTCTCGCGCTGAAACTCCAAATACGCCTCGCAGAAGAAACCCAGAAAATCTGCGGCAGCTGAATAAACAGAAGATTCGACTGCTTTCATTGATTCAACGTGACTAATAAACACATGACTACGGCAATATACGGTTTATCTGAGTTCTTATTATTATAATTTTCATTCAAATAAAGTCTATTTATAATGCAATGCCTTTATCACTGCTTAAATACTATGAAATATGTTGCGTGCCTTATTCTGTGTAAGAAGCCACATCATCTCTTTAAAGCACATTTTGAAACACAGATGCTATTCTGAAGTCGAGTAATACAAATTTAAAATTAATATTACAGATCTAAAGAGGGATATAAGGGCTTTTCTGCACACAATGAAGTTGCCAACTATGATACAACAACTAAAATAAAATATCTGAAATACACAGAAGAGTTACAAAGATTCTGGCAGCCGTGATGCTTTGCATGATATTTTCTTATGCATAAGTAGATTTTAGTTGCTCAAGGCATTAATATTCAAATGGCATGGAAATACTTTCAGTGCAAATACAGAATTCTTACAACTAGCTATATAAAAATTCATATTAATGATAGTATCAATAATAGCTAGAAAGAGGCAGTGGATTGGTTTTCCCCTTTGCTTGTCACTTCTTGGAAACAGAAGTCGTCCAAACCAAGCAGCCGTGCATAAAAACTGATTGCATGCTCTCTCTGGACAGCCATCACCATTTTTTATTTGATTATATTTTAATAACTACACTATAGTCTGCATGACGATTATGCATGCATGAATGAAATAATCAATTACTGCATAAAAATTCATCCCAGTTCACGTACAAACCAAGCCCATAGAGTTATGCAACAGAAAAATGTGTTTAGAAATTGTGTATGGACTCTTGTTCTAAGTTACCTTCCTATCCACTGATTTGTGCCTCTCACAAAAGTCACAAAGCCTTCCAAGAAGACAGTATGTCATGCTTGAGCTTTAGTTAGGCTGAAACTTGAAAGTTAAGATGCACGACATAAATGCAATGTTTAGGTATTATTATTTTTATTACTATTATTTTGATTTATGCCTTAGTTTTACTTTGTACCGTTTTACCTTTTTTAAAGTAATGTGAAATTGATTTTTATATTTCTTGATGTATGCCTTAATTTTAGGTTGTAATGTTGACCCTTTTTAAATTAATGCGTAAATGCATTAAATGGGTTTAGTTTTAACGGTAATTAATGTATGCAATTTCAGCAGTAAAAATATTTATTTTTCTCAAAAGGAAACAAATTAGTTGTTTATTTTAAGAGACCTATCTTATTTTCTCTAGTATATCTAGTATTGCTCTTTAATAAAGAAAAATGACTTCTTATCCGATTACTCGATGGAATAATCTGTAGAATACTCGATTACAGGGCTGCACGATTAATCGAATGTGATTGTCATGTGCACTTTGTTAGTAAAGCCGGTTCTGTGATTAGTAGGAAATCATCACCACGGGCTTTCAGATGGAGCAGCATTTAATACACAGAGCCGTAGTTCACTGACAAGTTATGCAAAAAAAATCGACGATTTTATTGCGCGATTCTGAAATCGAAGAAATCGTTGGCGATAATACCAGCTGTTTGCGTAGCTTCTCAGTGAACTACGGCTCTGTGTATTAAATGCTGCTCCATCTGAAAGCACGTGAAAATACCACATTTAATAACATATTTTTACTCCAAACTCACTTCATAACGTCAGTCGAGTGTTTGAAATAAATCCTTCTGTGAGATGACGTGGCTTCTTACGCAGAATAAGGCACGCAACATATTTCATAGTATTTAAGCAGTGATAAAGGCATTGCTTTATAAATATACTTTATTTGAATGAAAATTATAATAGTAAGACCTCAGATAAACCGTATATTGCCGTAGTCGTGTGTTTATTAGTCACGTTGAATCAATGAAAGCAGTAGAATCTTCTGTTTATTCAGCTGCAGCAGATTTTCTGGGTTTCTTCTGCGAGGTGTATTTGGAGTTTCAGCGCGAGAGCGCCCTCTGGCCTTTGGATGGAGATTTACTGCTGATCACAGAACCGTGCTTCACTGAAAGATACGCATGACAATCGCAGCTTCTGTCGAATCGAGATTCCATTTCGATTTATCGTGCAGCCCGACTCGTTTACTAAAATAATCAATAGCCACAGCCCTAATTACATCCTTTTCTCGCCAATGGATGCTCTGCAGTGAATGGGTGCCGTCAGAATGAGAGTCCAAACAGCTGATACAAACATCACTATAGGGCCTTTCGCACTGCGGGAACCTTTTCATAGTACCAGAACTAATTGTGGAACTACCCACTTTTCGGCGTGATCGCACCTCCGGAACTGGGTGCGATTTTAGTACCGGACTGCCTTTTTCGAGAACCAAATTAGCTCCTACTCCGGAGCAGGGTCTAACCGGCACAACTGGTACTAATCGTGACGTAAGTAGACATTGATTGGCCAAACGCGTACAAAAACGTCCTCACCTGCCATGATTTAAAACGCGGTGTAAACATACTGTAAACATTGTGTCAACTTATTTCGCAAGTATGGAGAACAGCGATAGATGGACGGACGCTGAAGTGCAGCACTTGTAGCAAATGTAGCGCTGCCAGTTGTTGTTGGAGATATCAGTTAACATCTTGAGAAGACGACAAGCTGTGTGCAGATTTCTCTCCTGATTCAGATCAGACGACTTTTTCACTGGAGGAAGCGTTATTACGGATTATGGACACGTATTTTTGTTAAAAACGTCTTGATGGAATTGTTTCTTACAAACACACAGCTTTTCATTTCTCCAGATGTTAACTGATGGACTGGAGTGCTGAGGATTATTGTGATGTTTTTATCAGCTGTTTGGACTCTC